CAAGGAAACCTGGCTGGAGACTGCAGATGTGGAAGGGCACCAGTCCCCTCAGCTGTGCAATGCCTTTTGATTGTCCCCAGAATCCAGATGAGACAGGATTCCTAGCGGCTGAGAGAGGGACTATTTCTTTTTACTTCTCAGCAAGATATGCTTTAAATGTTTACAGTTAGCAAATCACTACTTTTTTAACACATGGTGATCAAAATCCAAAATAATTGTGCTACTCACAATTGTGCTACTTGTAATTGCGATGGGACAAAATTTAAAGTTCTACATTTAACTTCTTGTAATCATATGCTATGGGCATATCTCTAGAATGGTAGCATAACTACCCTTAAACAAAATTCAGAAAGATTGACTAATGAAATTTTTAAGGAATGTGGGGGCTGGTATTGGAGTAGAAAAAGATTATTAACTGGATTTATCCAGTTCATAAAAATACATAGGATGAGCCAGGCGTGGTGGCTCACGCCTGTAATCCCAGCACTCGGGAGGCTGAAGCAGGAGGATTGTTACAAGTTCGAGACCAGCCTGAGCTATAAAGTGAGCTCAAGGCCAGCCTGAACTGCATAGCGAGACCCTGTCTCAAAAACACCAAAAACAAACAAAAAAACATAGGATGGGACTGGGGACATAGCTCAGTGGCACAGCACATGCCTGGCAGGTACAAGGTCCTGAGTTTGATGCCCAGTACCAAAACCAAACAAACAAAAATACATAGGACAATGAGTTTGAGGGCATAAAAGATTGTGACAAGGTTCAGCAATGGATTATGATTTCTAAGCTGGAGCCACAAGGATGCGACATTCATTTGTACCAATGTGACAAAATACCACAGATCGGGTATTTTATAGTAGAAATTTATTTCTCAGTTCTGGAGGCTGTGAAATTCAAGGTGCTGACAGATTTGGTGTCTGATGAGAACTGTTTTTACATGTCCAAGATGGCATTTTATTGCATCTTTTGGAAGGGATGAAGACAGTCCTTATAAAAGTAGAAGGGACAGAGGGACAAAAGGACCAAACACAGTGCAAAGCCACTTTTATGACCTAATCACCTCCTAAAGGCTCTGTTTTATAACTAAATCACTGGAAATTAAGTTGGAGCATGAATTTTGGAGGGACCAAACATTCAAACCACAGAGGAGTGAAAAGAAATCAGGAAAGGGTGAGGTTAATGATAAATGAGGTACACGTAATGAAACAACAGAACAACATGAAATCCAAGAATGGTATAACACTGATTTTACAACTGAAATATTCTTTTTTTTTTTTTTTTTTTTGTCTTTTTCCTTTTTATCGGTACCAGGGATCGAACTCACGACTGCCCGCTTGCAAGGCAGGCGCTTATGCCGCTGAGCTAAATCCCCAGCCCCCTGAAATATTCTGAATGAATATGCCAACAAGGTATGGACACAGCAGCAGGTGGCTAGAGTGAAGAACAGACCAAGAGTCCATTGTAGTTCAGAGATCAAATAATAAGACCATTGTTTTGGGATAGTGACTCACATAGACATTGGTAACAATTCACAATAAAACCGGACCTTTGGGTGGAGAGGATGCCTCACCATTTCAAGATACCTTAAACTTACAATTGTTCTAAACCGTGGGGCAGTTGAGGAAGAAAGGAGACAAAGGATTGGATACATGTTTTCTTTATCCCTTACTAACCAATGATTGAAATTTTATAGACAAGGAACTGCAAGTTACAAAATCTTGGTTGGTGACACAGATGTGCCTACAGAACATAAAACTGCTCCAAAAGCCTTCAATCCAATTACCAAGGTAATTTTGTTCTCCATTTAGTGGCAGGTGAAAAATTATCCAACAAAACAGTCTTAGCTACTTCATAAACTTTTAATTATCGTGTTCATAGTAGTAAGTACTCTAGTTAAGGAAGTTTCCCATACAACCCCAGGATTTCAGTCACTGTAGTTCTTTAAGTTTTCTTTGCTTTGAAGTTCTTAATGCTTAATTTTTGCCCAAAGGTTTTGTTTGGATGCAATAACTGAAAGGCAGTACTAACAGGAATCCTGAAGTTGTGATTAGAAAAGGCCCAGCAGCTGGACATGGTGGCACAAATCTGTAATATAGCACTTGGGAGGCTTAGGTGGAAGGATTTTAAATTCAAGGCCAGGCTGGGCACGTAGGGAATTTAAGGACAATATAGTTTATTCTGGAATTTTTTTTAAAAACTAGGAATTGAACTCAGGACCTTGCTCTTGCCAGGCAGGTGTTGAGCTACACTCCCAGCCCCTAAGGGGTATATATATATATATATATATATATATATATATAAACATTTTTTTAAAGGGCCCTGCAAAGGAGAGGCTATATCACTACTTGTGAGGTAATCTATAAACATGTGACAATGATGATAGGTGACATTTATTAAGAATTTCTACTTATGTCAAAACTGGTTTAAGCACATTATATCCATTGACTCATTTAATGCCTCAACAATGTATGAGGTAGGTGTTATTACCCCTGACGCCAATGTTAAGTAACTTGTCCAATGTCTCAAAGCTAGTAAATGGTGGAACAAGGTTCTGCAACTCTGGAACCTACAAGTATGCTGTTAAATGCACTTGACATTTGGGGACAGAGATGGGAATGAATCCAAGAAGCAGTCCTAAGGTTCCTTTACACCAAGTCCTTTACACAGACAGGAAACTGGAAGTTCAGAGCAATTGATTAGAATATTGCAGTGTGTGAAGCCTGCTGGCCCAAGCCTACTACTCAGTGATAACTTTAAAAAAATTATTTATCACTATATTTGTAACACATGATTTCACCCATTGTGGGGTGTTGGTGTATGTACTGTATATGCCATTTTTCAACCACTCCTTGCATCTCGTAGATCCCTTCATACATACATACATATATATGCATATGATTAATTTGTGTCACAGTACAGGCAAACACCTCCCCCCTTTTAATCTTATCCCCCTGTCCTTTCTCATATGCCAAAAATTCATCTTGCAATTTTCTATCCTTTATTTTGCACTTTATTGATATAATGGGATTCTCATGTAAGAGAAAGCATGTGATATTTAAGTGTATGCGTCAGATTTACTTCTCCAAATGATACAGATTTAAATTTGGGATTATCCCAGGCATATCCTGGCTAGTGGAAGATTAACTTCTGTGCACAGGGGTCCCTTCTTTGCTTAACGCTGTTTACACCTCTATTTTATGAGCGCTACTTATAAAATCATTAAAACAATAAGCCAGGTATTTTTTAGAAAGAGGTAGTGAGTTTTACTTTCTAGTGGAATTTAAATCAAAGTGCTGTCCCACACCTCTATGAATATGCTGAAAAACACGCATTTGCTTAAATGGACAAACTATATAATAAATGAATATCTTAATAATGCTCCTTTTTTTTTTTTTTTTTTTTTTTTTTTGCTGTTTCCTTTTTATCGGTACCGGGGATCGAACTCACGACTGCCCGCTTGCAAGGCAGGCGCTTATGCCGCTGAGCTAAATCCCCAGCCCCAATAATGCTTTCAAAAAAGTATAATTAAAAAGTTTTTTGAGTGATTCCAAATGGACTCCTTCCCTGTAAAACACTGCCACACAGAGAACAGGGTCCCTAACGTGACCCTTGCACACACTCATTTTGCATTCTATCCACATCCACAAGTTTGCCCTCATGCCAGGCATCGATATAGCTAAGCACAGGATACCCAGCTCTGCCGCCAGGATGAAAAAGTTAAGTACAAACTCTTGTAACTTATATTAAGCACTTTTTGTTTTGTTTTGGATGAGGGTTCTAGTGACTATGTGGCACATTTGGTTAAAAAGGTAATGCGACTTTCACTTTTTTAAAGAAGGCAATTTTCTTATTTCTTTTAGTAAGATACACCGAGTCACACACCTAATGTCAAAGCTTCAGGTAATCATTTACTCTTTGCAAGTGGTTTTTCACATAGTAAGCAAACCTGTAACCCCAATACTTTGGAAGCTGCTGAGGCAGGGGGGCAGAAAATCTGAATCCCTCCTGGGTAATTTAGTTAAGACCCTGTCTGAAAAATTAAAAAAGCATCAAGGGTTGAGGATGTAGTTCAGCGTGAAGGCCCTGTGTTCAATACCCAGTGCGGTCCGCGGTGGGGAGGGGGAGGGTACTAAAGTTAATGTTTTGAAAAAAATGGTCTTTTATTAAGGCTATGTCTGTTAATGGCATCAATGCTTAACTCCTAACTACGCCGGAGGCCGGAAGCCCGCAGGGCACTCCGTGGGGACGGTGTAAGTGGGCTTCATGTCCACTACGGATTTGTTTCGGTCTTGACCACGTCGTGGTGGAAGGACTCGCCAGTCCAAGGGCGACTGTCTCCTCCTCGAGGACCAGGGTTCGGGGCCTCCTGAGCTCCGGGTTTCCGAGGTGCGCGGCAGCACGCAGCCTCGCGATCCAGTGCGGGCGGAGCAGGGAAAAGGGCGCTGATCACGTGCGCGCGCCCGGCCGGAGTCTGCAGGAATGCAGCCACTCGCCGGGAAAGTTTCCCTCGGCGGCCGACGCGGATTCGGCGCGGGCGGGCGCGCAGAGGAAGGAAGAGCCGGGAGGAGGCGGAGCCGGCCCGCGACTCGGGCGGGCGGTTCTCTCAACTTTAGTTTTGGCGTCGGAGGCGAGTTTCTGTCTCAGTCGGGCGCAGTCGCCGCCAGGGAAAAGAAAGGGAGGAAGGAAGGAACAAGAAAAGGAAATAAAAGAGAAAGGGGGAGGGGAGACGCAGCGGCGAGTCCTCCGGCCTCCGTCCAGGGAGCTGAGGTTAAAGTTCTGAGGCGCCGCCGTCCGAGCCTCTCGCCGCCGCTCGCGGGGCGCAGCCGCCAGACGAGTGCACCGGGGCGCGGGCGCGGCGGGGGCGGAGGCGCCGGGGCGGGGGCTGCGGGGCCGCGGCGCAGCCCCCGGGCCCCGAGAGCGAGCACAGCGCCGCGCCCGCTCCTCGTCTAGCCCGTCGAGCGCGGCGTCCGGGCGGAGCCCTCGCCCGCCTGGCCAGGGGCGCGTCGGGGAGGCTCGCGCCATGGATCCCGGGCAGCAGCCGCCGCCTCAGCCGGCGCCCCAGGGCCCGGGGCAGCCGCCCGCGCAGCCCGCTCCGGGCCAGGGCCCGCCGTCCGCTCCCGGGCAGCCGGCTCCCCCGGCGTCCCAGGCGGCGCCGCAGCCGCCCCCCGCCGGCCACCAGATCGTGCACGTCCGGGGGGACTCGGAGACAGACCTGGAGGCGCTCTTCAACGCCGTCATGAACCCCAAGACGGCCAACGTGCCCCAGACCGTGCCCATGAGGCTCCGGAAGCTGCCCGACTCCTTCTTCAAGCCGCCAGAGCCCAAAGCCCACTCGCGACAGGTAACCGCGCCGGCGTCCTCGTCCCCTTCCCTCTGGCGGCCCGGGTCGGGGCGCTCGGGCCGGGCTGGGGGAGTCGCGGCGCCCGCCCCGCTCCCCTCCCGAGTCCCGAGCTGAGATTTGTTCTTCCCCGCTGGAGTTTCTCTCCGCGGCCGCAACCCCGGGCGGGGGTCATCCTTCCCCAGCTTCCTTTCTTTCTTCCTGGGGTTCTCAGAGGTTGGCGGGAGCCGAGGGGGCGGCGGGGGAGGAAGGAAGGGGGTGGGGAGGCGGCCGAGCCGCGGGGGGTCGCACAATGCGCGCGCTTCCGCGCCCCGCACCTTCGCTCCGGGGGCTGGGCTGGGGGAGGGGAGGGGAGAGGAGGGGGAGGGGGACCTCTGGCATCCGTGTGTGGGTGACTCGCCAGCGGCGGCGGAGTTTGTGAAGTTGAGCCCTCGGCCACCTTTTCCTTCGGGGCCTCTCGGTCCACTTCAGTTTCCTGGGGAGTCAAATAATTGTTCTCCTGTTTTCCAGTGTTGATTAGGGGTGGGGGTTGAACCGGTCCATTTAGTTTTCTTGCTCCTTCCCACCCTTCCCCCGCCCCAAAGCATTTATTTCCTCGCGGCCCAGGCGCGTTGAGAACACTGGATTCGGGCTTTCCGTGCACAGACTTTCCTGGAAGTTGTTTATGGTCTCATTTCGTCCCTGCGCTTCCTTCTGCTTCGGAATTTGGGCACAGTTGCTCTTATCAAACTGAGTGGGTTCGCGTGTTGGCCTCCCAATTGCAAGCTGTTATTTACAGTCTGCTGAAATGCTTTTAAACTAGCCACATCTGTAGGTTGCGCAGGAACTGAGTTGCGCTTTACCGTACCGAGGTTTTAACGCAAGCCTTTGATAATACACTGCAGGTTGACTCATAGGCCTCGTCCTGCCTAGTTGAACTGTGATTAAAAGTTAATGTTTGGGAAGCGGTGACTAATTCTAGGATGTCCATTGCATTTTAATTCCTGTTGAGCATATGAACATGGCTGCTTTTCCACACACAGAACATTCGATTATTTTGCCAATTTGATTCAACGTGGAAGTGAAACTTTATGAAACTCTTAACATTCCGATGTGTCCTAGATTTCTTTAGTGAACCCCCATCTCTTTTGTTAGAAACTTGCTCCGGGCTAAACCGGCAAAGAAAGCTTGCCCGAAAGTTAATTGGTTTTCCAAATACTGCTGTGTATTTGCCCACTCGGGCTGTAACTTGAGTGGAAAGAAGAGTTACTGCCCCCACTCCTATTTCCCCTCCAGTTTGAAGGTTCGTGATAGGGAAGGGGGTTGGAACTCAAAAAAGGCTCACTTAACTTGATGACAAAAACCCGGGTTAAGAGGAGGAAGGAAAAACTAGTTGCTTGCTTAACTTACTCAAATTGTTAGGACTTACATATACTTTTTCTCTTACCCATGGAAGTGGGTTTTTGAGCACATTATGGGTAAATGTATATTGACGTGCATCTTGTTGACCAGTGATGCTGCTAGTTTCTTAAATATGCTTTGAAAGTACATACATGGGAGATTGAACTCCACGTCCTGTACTATGGGTAAGCCAAAAAGAAAAATAGCAACTGAAAAGTTGCTACTGTTTTAATATGTGGATACATGAGAATTTATATCCAGAATTTTGAAAAATGTGTATGGTTTTATCTTTTTAAGAACAGAAGAAAAAAAAAGGGGTCTAACTGTGTAGTTCAGGCTGGCCTTGAACTCAGCGGAGATCTTTCTGCCTCAGCCTCCCAAATGCTAGGATTACAAGTGTGCAGTATCACACCTGGCACTGTGCATCTGAAAGCTTATTTCTGCTAATGATTTTCCTAATTCAAACTCAAAAATGTACATGAATTTGCTTTAAGGCATAGATGACTGCACTTTCGGTTTCCTTTTCTGTGTGAATCAAGAAAATTCTGTTTTTTAGACAGCCAAACTAATTCTAATAAAGGAATTTTTGGGGGGAAGATACTGGCTATCGAATTCATAACTTTGTGATGCCATGCAGGCAGTTGTGTCGCTGAGCTAAATTCCTGGCTTCTAATAAAGGATTTTTAAAAAGGAATTAAATGAAGGGAGTAGTGGGGAGTACTTGCCCACAGACTGTTTACTGTTAATTCTTAAGTGTCTCCTTTTTCCATCATGACAAATCCATCTTAACAAAAGAGAAAATGGTTTCACAAAGTTACCATACTTGTTAAGTGTCACACTTAGTTTCCTTGGTGGGAAGTTGATGATGCAGTTTTTTTCCCCTGCTATTGCATAGTTGAAATAGTTATATGTCAGTTCTTAATGTTGTAATTTAACTTACATCTTTTGATTTTCCATTATATTTTTTATATGACAATATTTGAACAGTTCTGAATCTTTTGAATTCATTAAAAGTTGTACACTTTGTGATGACTGATTTATTGATGCATGCATTTGTTCATGGAAAAAATGAGTAGGATTTGACATTAAAAGTTGCTTAAAAAATATATAGTAATTTTTTGGGTTATGTTTATACCTGAAACATTTTTTAGAATTTGGAAAAGCACCCACACTACCTTGACCTCTTAACTTATTTTTGTGGTGGGCTTTAAATCCATGTGCTCTTGTGTTTAAGCAGATGCCCTACCGCAGCGCTATACCTGTAGCACCTGCCTTGATCTTTTAAAACTTAGTTTTTATTTACTTTTTTTTTTTTTTGAAGATAGGGTTTGGTTATGTAGTTTAGCTTGAACTCACTATATAACTCAGGCTTGATTCTCCTGCCTCAGCCTTGTGTGTGCTGGGATTATAGGTGTAGTTTGTTTTTTGGTGCCAGCAGTTAAATTTATGACCACATACTCGACAGGCAGACGTAGTGCCACTAAGCTGTATCTCTAGACCCAGTTTATCTTTTTTTTTTTCTTTTTGTCTTTTTGAGACAGGGAGTTTATCATCTTTTTTTTTTTTTTTGTCTTTTTGAGATAGGGTCTCGCTGTGCAGTTCAGGCTGGCCTTGAGCTCACTTTGTAGCCTAGGCTAGTCTCGAACTCTCAATGATCCTCCTGCCTCAGCCTCCCGAGTGCTGGGATTACAGGTGGGAGCCATCATGCCCGGCGATCAGTTCATCTTTTTTAATATGTTACTTTTTTGCATTCTTGAGACAGGTTCTCCCTATGTAGCTCAAGATGGGCCTTGAACTCAGTATGTAGCATAGGCTGGCCTTTTGGCTTGGTGTCCCAAATGATGGGATTACAGACAGATGCCATTATACAGGTCTCTAGAAATTAGATTTTATTATCCTCTATTTACTACTAAGAACCTTCGTTTCCTTCTATACTACTTGCCTGCATAAAGTGTGGAAGACATCTCTAGTTTGTAGTAGACAAACTCATTTAGGCATACTGTTCATAAAGTTATCAATGTTTACAGTACATTTATTTATTTAGTGGTATCAGGGAGCAAACTCACAGTCTTGTGCTAGCCAGGCAGGTACTTAGGTCACTGAGCTAAATCCCCAGCCTGCTTACAGTACGTTTTAAAATTACATGATTTAAGGTTTGTGAGACATAGGGTCTCACTATGGTTCCCTGATGACCTTGAACTCCGGGACTCAGGTGATCCTCTCACCTCAGCCTCTCCAGTAACTGGAACCCTACAGGCATTTGCCACCATCATGACCGTCACCATCATCACCACCATCACTGCCCCACTATTTTCTGCTCTTTTTACTCCCTTTAAAATTAAATATTTTAAACCGGATGTGGTGGCTTATGCCTGCAATCCCAATGCGTGGGAGGCTGAGGTAGGAGGATTGTTGTTTGAGACCAGCCTGGGCTACAAAGTGAGTTCAAGGCCAGCCTGAACTGCATAGTGAGACAAATCACACTTTTTGTCTCAAAAAGTCAAAATAAATAACTAAAAATAAAATTATATAATTTAAAAGTAATTTAAAACCAGGTGCAGCAGTACCTGTCTGTAATCTCAGCACCCTTGAAGGCTGAGGCAGGAGGTTCAAAAATTCAAGCCCAGTCCAGAAAAGGTGGCAAGATCCTGTCTTTTTAAAAAAAGGTCTGGGGATGTTGTTCATTGGGAAGACCTTGGATCTAATCTCCAGTACTGGGGTTGAAGGGAGGATCCACTTGAAAAGCTGATGTTCTTTGGTGTCAAATATTAAATGGTGAAATTTGTGAGTAGCACTTAGATATTTGGTTGCAGTGAAATTCTTTCTAAGCAGTTTGGAGATACATTTTCCAAAATGTTTTGTTTGTTTTATACATTTCCATTTTAATCCCACTAGGCCAGTACCGATGCAGGCACAGCCGGAGCCCTGACTCCACAGCATGTTCGAGCTCATTCCTCTCCTGCGTCCCTGCAGCTGGGAGCTGTTTCTCCTGGGACATTGACCCCCACTGGAGTAGTCTCTGGCCCAGCAGCTACACCCACTGCTCAACACCTTCGCCAATCTTCTTTTGAGATACCTGATGATGTACCTCTGCCAGCAGGGTGGGAGATGGCCAAGACATCTTCTGGTCAGAGATACTTCTTAAAGTAAGTGAAAGTAATTGTGAGAAGTGGTTATCTAAGAATGTGTATTGAAAACACACTCAAGTGGCACTATATAGAATACTGTTTGTTTTTATATTATACTTAATATTTTTCTCAACTCAAGTGTTTTCTGTAATTTTTTTTCAATTTGCTGTCAATCCCAAATACTTAAACACCTTTGCTAGTGAGAGTTATGTTTTGAAAGATTGATTCTTTTTTTACCCCATCTATTCCGTGGGAGATTTTTTTTTTTTTTTTTTGGTCTTTTTCATTTTTATCGGTACCAGGAATCTTAACTTACGACTGCCTGCTTGCAAGGCAGGTGCTTATGCCGCTGAGCTAAATCCCCAGTCCCTGGGAGATTGATTCTTAATTCAGAAACTTTTCCTTTATCTTCTGTGGCTATTTGTCTCATTTGGAGTTTGTGCCAGATCTTTTTAATTAGCATAGCACAACACAGAAAGAGTACTGTGAGAATTTTTAGATTGTAAGAATTATGGGACTGGCATAGTTATATGGAGTATATGTGGTACTACTTAGGTTTTTTTCCTTTTTTGGGAACTACATAATGAACCCAGGCCCTCATATATACTAATCACACAATGTAGCACCGAGCTGTATCTCCAGCCCTCCTATATGTTTTCAAATAAATGTTTTATTGGTAGAGAAGAGTCATAAAACAAGTAGGACTCTCGGTGAAATCTAATGTTATAATATTTTAAATTATGAATTTATAAGTACATTAACTGAAGTTTGATACAATTTATCAATTTTTTCCCCAAATATAAAGAAAAACATAGAAACTTTTAGATTGGATATACGATCACTCAGTGGTGACTTTCAAATTATTAGATGTTCAAAGGAGAACATTATCTGAGAAAACAGGGCCTTTTGCCTAACAAAAAATGACATTAAGCCAAAAAGACCTAAATGCAAATTTATCCCTTCTACTTGTGAAATTATAGGTAGGCTTTTAATTTTCTGTGACTTGGTTTGTATCAAGTGTGTACAATGTACTGTGTAAAACTAGTTATTATAGACAGAAATAAAAATTATTTTTAAATCCTTAATCAGGTTGATATAATAAAGTGAAAAACAATCCTGTTTTGATTCAGATTTGTAGGCAGTGTACTCTTTTTTTTTTTTTGTCTTTTTTCTTTTTATCGATACCGGGGATCGAACTCACGACTGCCTGCTTTTAAGGCAGGCCCTTATGCCGCTGAGCTGAATCCCCAGCCCCGCAGTGTTCTCTTAAGGGAAATGTAACATTTATTAGATCAGTTAATACAATTAATGACACTTTGTTGTGTGAATCTTCATGTGTTTCATAATAACTGTCTTTCAAGGTGGGTTGTTATTTTGTGACAAGCCTATTTAGAAGAGCAAAAGAAAAGATTTTTTTCCTCTTTTCTTTAGCTTTTTCTTTTTCTTTCTTTCTTTTTTTTTAATTTGTCTTCTGGTGCCCTGGTATCCATTTCAAAGGGTCAGGTTTCAACCAGAACAATAAACGGCCCAGAGACTGGAAAGTACACACAAGTCTGGCAAACTCATCTGCATGAGCAAGATCATTTGTTCTCCAGCAGACGTCCAAAGTAAATGATTGAAAGAGCTGCTAGCTGTGAGGGATGTGTCTTGAAGAGAAAAGGAGTGGAAACAGACCAGGTTGTTAGGAAGAAAAAAGAAAGGCTGTACTTTCTTGAACCTCTCCCTGCTGGGTCACATGCTGACCAGGGAAAATTTTTTGAACAGCTTAATAGCCTGTTTGCCTTCTTTCTTTGGTTGATGCCCTAGCTAAAAGTCAGAGTAACATTTAAGTTTTTCTTGGTCTCTTGTGTCTTGTAGATGGCAAAAGCCTGGTTTTTGTTATTTTGAGTGATTTTTTTTTTAAAGTTGAAATAAACATTCTGGGTTTGCTTTTAAAAGTTTCCAATGGTTTTTCCTTTGAGAAGAAATACTTTTCTTAAATATTGGTGTAAGAATGAATTGAAGAAAGGGCCATATACTTTCCCCATTTAGCTCACTCACCTAAAGGTAGAGTGGGCCAAAATTAGAATTACGCCTTAAGAGGAATATAGTAGGAGCAGGGAGAACTTTACCTGCAAAGGGAACACTGTCAAGAAGAGAGATAAGACAGGATTGTTCTTTCGGTATTTTTGAGGTATTATCATCTGGAAGTAAGATTAGGCTTATTATGTCATAAGTATGACATTTTGATTCTGTGAAACTTTTTCTTTCATGCTTTTCAAAAAAAAAAAGCTTTCCTTGAGAGATAAATCTTGGGCAGTAAAAGTAGGTGAGATGGATTTGTGGGTACCTGTCAGATTCATATATACAGAAAGCTTCTAAGCAGTGTATGTGAAAGATGGTTGTTGAGGGCTTATATAATTTCATATTTTTCTAAAAAGTATCTGTTTTATGAATCTTATCAATTTGAAGTTGGATGTGTGTGCTGAGGCAGGAGGATTATTACAAGTTTGAGGCCAGCCTGAACTGTACACAGTGAAACCCTGCTTCAAGGAGGAAAAAAAAAATATAATTTGGAGAAATGTTACAAAATAAATTAGTTCAACTTCTCCAGTAGTTAGCTACTTGCACCATACAGGTTATATAGTTTTCATAAATAACCTAGTTATATTTTTTGTGTGTGCATACTCAACAGATAAATTCAGCATCTTTTTTCATTTTTGGGGGAAGGTTACTGGGAATTGAACTCATCACCTTTCACTTGCCAGGCAGGCACTGTGCCACTGAGCCAGCTATGTCCCAAACCAGTATCTATTTTGACTGTGGGTCAAAGATGGTGAAGTAAGCTTTTAGTGCTATGTTGATACTGCCAGAATGTTGGTGGGGTTTTTTTGTTTTGTTTTGGTACCAGAGATTGAACTCATGAGATTTTGCTGCTGAGCTAAATCCCCGGTGCCAGAAAACGTTTTTATGCTGACAGGTAGATACAGAATGAAAATTTAAAGTACTTGTGTACTTTACACACTCATTTCACTGATATGTCTTTTTATATACTTGGAACTATTAAGTTACAAAGTAGTATATCATTTATTGAGATGTATATTTGGCATGGAAGAATTCTGATTATAAAAGGTTTAAACATGGGCCTGGGGATTTAGCTCAGCGGCATAAGTGCCTGCCTTGCAAGCAGGCAGTCATGAGTTCGATCCCTGGTACTGATAAAAACGAAAAAGACAGAAAATGGAAAAAAAAAAAAAAAAAAAGGTTTAAACATGTAAGATAATATAACTTGAGAGAAAGTTTAGAAATAATTGAACTTGGGGGCTGGGGATTTAGCTCAGTGGCATAAGCACCTGTCTTGCAAGCAGGCGGTTGTGAGTTCGGTCCCCGGTACTGATAAAAAAAAGTTAAAAAAAAAAAAATATTGAACTTGGAAACAACTACTTATTGCCTTGTAGATGGAATTTTTGAAGTCAGTTGGTCTGTCTTTCAGGTTGAAGGCAGCATAATTACGGAGGGATTATATAGAATCATTAGTTTTATTTTTTTCTTTTTGGTACTGGAGAGTGAACTCAGGACTTTCATACTGAGCTACATTCCCAGCTCTGTTTTTATTTATTTGTAAGTCTTACACTGCTAAATTGCCCAGATTGAACTTTGAACTTGGATTCTTCTTGCTTCAGCCTCCCAGAACATTGGGATTACGGTGTGCACCGTCGTACCCAGCTCATAATTTAGTTCATTCAGTCATTTGTTTTTGAGTGAGGTTCTCATTATGTAACGCAGGCTGACCTTGAACATTATGTAATCAGTGCTGACGTCCAATTTGGAATCATCCTACCTCAGCCTCCCAGATGCTGAGATTATAGGTATATGCTACTGGGCCTGAATTTTTCATAATTGGTATTTTTAAAGCTCTGTGTATCAGTGAATCTTTTTTGAAGAAGACTTACACCTTAATCTTGGCAAATGATGTGGTCAAAATATTGCATAAACACATTTTATCATCAGTACATGTTAAAGCTCTGAGAAGATAGTGGTGTACACAAAAAAAGTGATCTTTGGATAGTACATACAATATCTTTGTTACTAAACTTACTATTTTGGGGTTGTTCTTGTTGCTTTGTTTTGCTGTGTAAGTTTAGGCTGGGTTTAAACTCATCCCTGACTAGCCTTACATGGTAGTCCTCCTGTCTCAGCCTCCTCCTGAGTGCTGGGATTACAGGTATGAGGCACCACATCTGCCTGAATTTACTGTTTGAAATTAATTTCTTCAACATAGTACTTGAAGTTTTTTTTAAAGATAGAATTTTCTTTACAACTCAGACTTTCTGCCTACAACTGCCTTACAGTTTTCCTACAGGAAATAGTTCTTCAAGTAGTTGGTCAACAACTTCCTATTTCTTAATATGCTGTTAAATAACTTCCTGAATTAGCGTTCTATAATATTCTTGGTTACAAGGAGTGTTATTACTTCTCAGATTTATTTTATTGAATCTGATACCTTGCAACTGTTACCATGTACAAAGAACTCCTAGTGTATGGTGTTCTTTGATTTCAAGAATGTGATTCGGTTATTTAACAAGTTTATAGATTTATATTAACAGTGTTCTAGTAATTTTTAAAAGATAGTTTTGTTGTATTTCCATTTATCATTTTCTGAACAGCTGGCCTTCATGTTTTTAATCCTTGAAGACCCAAGGTTTCTTATGGCTTGATATGTTTAGAAGTTCGTTGAGTATCTTGATTGATAGTTTAAAAAAGATTTTTTTGGCATATAGCTCAGCCATATACCAACAGTACATGAATTTGCCTTGCTGATATGATTGATCACTATGAATACAATAGTTTATTTTTCTGCTGCAGGGGCCAGGGATTTAGTTCAGCAGCATAAACACCTGCCTGACAAGTGTAAAGTTGGGAGTTTGATCCCCAGTACAAAAAAAAAGAAAGGGATGTAATGTATTTTTCTGCTATAGGTTACAATAATTTAGAAATAAATGCTCCACTGCCCTAAATACAGCACAGTTGTATCAATT